AATAATAAATCATACAAGTACTCACCATCTGCCCCTACTTCCTCTGCAATTTCTTGCCATAATTTGTTAACACAATGACGGGCCTTATGATCCCCATGCCTCACATCCCACAAAGCCGGCCTATTTTGTATTTCAGCGATTAAACGATGTACATCCATTGCGTTTGAAATTTTTCGCTCAACTAAACTCTTATCGTTGAGCAATGTTTCGAGCACAAACATGCATTTGCTACGACGAAAAGACGAAAAACAATCAAAGCGACAACGAAATATAACGAATAAATTTACACACACACATTCAAATACTTGCTGGCAGCATTGAGAAAAAACTTAACGAAACTAATCATGTTTTCTCCCTATCTCACACGGCTTGTTTGTGTTTTTTTTTTAAATATAGAGAATTTCTTTTTGTATTATTCGCTAAATTGTTGTTGTTCAACTAATAACAGCAGAGCGGGTACAGTTTGCAATAAAGTTTTGTTTTAAATAATTTTTAATTAATTCTGCATTTCGTTGGTAATTTGTACAATATTAGTGATACATATTTTACCTTTTAAAGTATTAGGTAGATAGGGAAAAAATTTAACAAATTTCCCCGAGGAACTATGCATATGTACATACATAGTCCCTATCATCAGAAGTCAGTCTCCAAAATGTATCCCAAAATAATATCAATAGAATATTGTACCTTTTTCTTGGATTTTGTACCAAATTTTTTGTTAAAAAGAAGAACTTGATGACAGATAGATAGATAGATAGATAGATACATAGATAGATAGATAGATAGATAGATAGATAGATAGATAGATAGATAGATAGATAGATAGATAGATAGATAGATAGATAAGATAGATAGATAGATAGAGATAGATAGATAGATAGATAGATAGATAGATAGATAGATAGATAGATAGATAGATAGATAGATAGATAGATAGATAGATAGATAGATAGATAGATAGATAGATAGATAGATAGATATAGATAGATAAATAGATAGATAGATAGATAGATAGATAGATAGATAGATAGATAGATAGATAGATAGATAGATAGATAGATAAATAGATAGATAGATAAATATATAGATAGATAGATAGATAGATAGATAGATAGATAGATAGATAGATAGATAGATAGATAGTTAGTTAGTTAGTTAGTTAGTTAGTTAGTAGTTAGTTAGTTAGTTAGTTAGTTAGTTAGTTAGTTAGTTAGTTAGTAGTTAGTTAGTTAGTTAGTTAGTTAGTTAGTTAGTTAGTTAGTTAGTTAGTTAGTTAGTTAGTTAGTTAGTTAGTTAGTTAGTTAGTTAGTTAGTTAGTTAGTAGTTAGTTAGTTAGTTAGTTAGTTAGTTAGTTAGTTAGTTAGTTAGTTAGTTAGTTAGTTAGTTAGTTAGTTAGTAGTTAGTTAGTTAGTTAGTTAGTTAGTTAGTTAGTTAGTTAGTTAGTTAGTTAGTTAGTTAGTTAGTTAGTTAGTTAGTAGTTAGTTAGTTAGTTAGTTAGTTAGTTAGTTAGTTAGTTAGTTAGTTAGTAGTTGTTAGTTAGTTAGTTAGTTAGTTAGTTAGTTAGTTAGTTAGTAGTAGTTAGTTAGTAGTTAGTAGTTAGTTAGTTAGTAGTTAGTTAGTAGTTAGTTAGTTAGATAGATAGATAGTTATATTATATTATCCATGAACTTATACCTTCTTTATTTTCAAATTAAAAGTCTTGAAAATCTATTTTGAATATTAATTAATTTGTATTTTAGTTAGTTAGTTAGTTAGTTAGTTAGTTAGTTAGATAGATAGTTATATTATATTATCCATGAACTTATACCTTCTTTATTTTCAAATTAAAAGTCTTGAAAATCTATTTTGAATATTAATTAATTTGTATTTTTATTGTTTATTTTTAAAAAATAAAATAAATGGTTGTATTAACTATAGCTATTATAAATTAATGGAAAAATTAAAACTAGTTACTAACTACAAAGTAGTAATTTGTTAAAAATATATACTACATTTAAATATCATTTGAGATTTCATTTTTAGAATAAATATCAATCATTAAATGGGACATCTTGGCACGATATTGTAAATTCTGCAAATGAGTCAACAATTTCATATAGGGCCAAAAACTCATTAAGAAATTACAATCTGGATCGCTTATATCTAACGCTGATATCTTTGTATTACCATCTGATGCTTTAGATTCATTAGCAGAAGAAGAATTCGTTAGAAAACTTAATATTAAATCAGACATTTGAACACGAAACTGTAGATTTTGTAGAGCGGTTAATGATTTCATGTGAGACAAAAAGCTGATCAAAAAATTACAATCTGGATCGCCAACATCTTGTTGAACTGTTGTTCTGGAATGTTGCCTATTATTATTTTCATTCAATGTTATTGGTAGATTTTCATCTTTTTGAGTATTTCCATGCAAATTACGCGTTTGCTGTCGCTTTGAATTTTTAGCTAGACTTTGAGGTTTAACTGAATGAACTTCATTTTGTTTAAGTGTTGAACT